GCATTATGCAAATATTTCCACATAGTGAGGTAGATATGTGGGGGCGTGTTAGAACGAGCCATTTTAGGGGGGTGTGGCATTAACTTTGATAAAGAATATCTCTTTGGTTTTGAGACTTTAGTCTTTGCAACTTCAGGGATCTTATCTATGCACAATCAGCTTGTAACACTCCAAAGAGAAAGGAAAACTTGAAATCGCATTATATGACCCCTTTAAGGCACCTCTGGGTACAGGTGATATGTTGATTTTTTTAGTTACACAAGATTTTTCAAAATGCAAACTCTCACTCATAAAATGGCTGGAAATGGTAAATGTACAGTATAGAGTTATTTTTGTCCTCTAGTTTACTTATTCAATTTGATATAGTAGTTTGACTTATTTTTAGTAAAATGATTAACATTTAGCAATTTTTTTCAGAGTCTATGTAAACTTTTGACCACAACTGTAAATTGAGCATGCGTGATAATGTTACATTACAATGTTTTACAGTTTTTAAATTAATTTGTATTTATGTATTATGGAGAGACTGCAGAGTTAAATGTGAGCTAGAAAAAATATTTCTCATAATCCTGAAATGCTTAAGGTTAATGTTAATTTTAACTTGCTTCAGTGTATCCAAATTCAGTGTATGTTCTCTGACTCTGACTCATACAGGCCTGAAATCAAGTCTCATCTAGCAGGAAAAGAAGCAGAAAAGCCTGTAAAATGAGTGTGTATGAGGAGAGAGAGCAGGAGTCTTCTGTTGACACTCAGAGAGCAGCATCTCCAGGATTCAGCTGTGTGTCTATGAAGAGTAACAACTCCATGATTATTCCTCCTGATCTCAGTGATGTTGACGCTCAGAGAGCAGCATCTCCAGGATTCAGCTGTGTTTCTATGAAGAGCAACAACTCCATGCATCAGCCCCCTAAATTCAGTGATGGAGCTGCTGTGACGTCTGACCCTGTGTGAGTATCATCTAGGTCCTCAACTATCTGCTGTAGTGAAACTTGGCTATGAAATATTTTAATATGGTGAATCATTCACTGAGGTCTCTTACTCTGAAAAGCAGACATTAGTAAATCACTGTATGAAGAAAAGAAGAAAGACAATCTATTATATCTATTATTTCTAAAATATTCAATGCTGCTCACCAACTAAAGCTTTAAATCTGTACTGTGTCCCAGTGAACTGATATAATGATCAGAGGAAGTTGACAGATTTATGCAAATACCCAAGACTGGGTATGAAGCTGATTCAGAGATTTTTAGAGCTCTTTTGATTTAACATTCATGTTAATAATAGTAATAATAAAATATTACTAATTAAACTTGCAGATGCCTGCTGACAAACACCCACATAACCACTGAAATTAAACCTAAGGTCAGTTTGGCTTAAGGAAAAACAACAATGTAGTGTACAAATATTTGCAAAATGCTGCAACACTAATGTGTTATTCTTAAAACACCTACATCAGGGGTTTTCTTACTTTTTGAGCAACTTAAAACATCCAAATGATTTTTTCAGCACTGAACAAATAGAATTCTCTTTGAACTCAAGCAGTTCACTCAAAAAATACATTTGTCATTATTTACTAACCCTCATGTCGTTCCAAACCCAAGACTTGATCTTCAAAACACATACAGTATGAAGATATTTTTTAAGAAACCAGAAAGTTTTCTGTCCCTCCATTGAAAGTCCACGCAACCAAGACTTTGAATATCTAAAAAGGTCAAAGGACTTTTAATGGAGGTGAACTGTCCTTTAAGGACTTGTGAGCAGGATTCACAAAATGCACATATCATGAAGATCTTTAGAAGAGTCTGATGAGAACAGCATCTAAAACTCACATACACCAGTAACATTTAGAAGTTTTGCACTCCAACTAACACTTGATACATTTACATATTTTATGATGTTTATCGTAAACTTTCATCAGTCTAGAAGTTTGAGCAGCTATCATTATCTTTATGATGCTCAAAACAAACCACTCTAGTCTACAGGAAATATAGCTCACCAACTTTAAAGCAGCACTATGTAACTTTTGGCGCTCTAGTAGCGGTTAATAAACAGAACTGCACACATCCCGTTGAAGAACATTCCAACCGGAGCTACTTCTCTAGGTTTATGTCTATG